GTGCGGGTACTGGAGGTCGAGCAGAAGAAGACAAAAGTGGCATTTTTAGAGGCCCAGTAGTTGTAGGTTAGGTCTAAGCGGATATCAGTCCAACTAGTCTGGGTCTAGGGCCTGTACGGGCAATATCAGAGTCTGCAATGATGTTTCCCTCCGAAAGGAAGGAGGTACCGGTTGCTTGGAAGGCCGAACGGCCTGGAAGTCACCGCCCGAAGAGGCAAGCAGGCCGCTATATCTCCCGATCGGGCGAAGAGCCCGGCCTCTTTTTCGGTGTGCAAGTTTGGTGACACACTGGTGGAGCGCTGGCTGGAGCAGCGCTGCTGGGGAGGAAGGAGAAGGACACGAGGGAGGAAGAAGTAAGGAAGGGGGAGGAGCGCCAGGGTTACTTACCTGGCTATAGTGGCAGCCATCTTCATCACCTTGGTGGGCGCTGCAGCAGGGAGTCCCCAACGGGGGAGAGCACCAAGAAGCTTCGAAATAGGGTCAGGCATGGCGGCCTGAGTTAGAGCAGCCATAGCTGCTTTGGGTTGCCCTTTGGGCATCTGGGCAAGGCTTAGTAGTCCGCCATAGCCTCGGCCTATGAGAGTGAAGAATGGGAGAGGCGGCTATGGCTATGGTGGACCTCAAGTGATACCTGCAGTAGAAGAGGAACTCGAACATTGATTCTGGATCAGCCATTCAACATTGTATTATTATTTCTTGTATGAATAAGAGAAGGGGGAGATGAGGAGGAGGAGGTTGTTGGGCGAAGAAGAAGAGCCATGTCATTTGTCTACGCCGGTGTACATATTATCTTCTTCTTTCTTACATCTTCTTCTTCTAATCCTCTCTCTCCTCTCAAGTTCATTCATTTCTTTCTGCAATTGGACGGCGTTGTACATTCTGATGGATGTGTATCTCGGAATTGGCCAGGATCATAACATTGGTATCGGAGCGGATTCTACTTGCTGGTGAGAGTTGACTTTGCTGCCCTAACCCTAACCTAAGTGGATGAGGGCACCACTTAGGGTTAGGGTTGGTTTGTGAAGGGAAGAGGGGCAGCGTGGTAGAGGGAAGCTGCCCCCACTTGGTTAGGTCACGGAAGGTCGACGTTGAACCTAACCAGGCTGCTTGAGAGTGAGATTAGGGTGGTGAGACATTTCGAGGAGGCTTCATGCAGCAATTTGAGAGAGGCGATAGTGAGAGGCACTCGCACCTGGAATCTGATTCAAGGGAGACACTTGGCAACTTAAGGGCTGCCCTCAAGTAGGCGAGCTTGAGGGTCAGCGGCCACTCAGCATCTACGGACTGCAAGTTGCTACTTTGTTCTTCAGCATCGACGGTGGATCCGGCGTTGCACTTTGGTGTTGGAGTCAGACCCTCCTAGGAGATAGGACACTAGTGTAGGGGTAGCGTTAGAGGGGTCAGGAGGAACACATGAGAGGGGGGTGAGTTCTATTCATCTCGAAGCTCAAGGCCACTCAGGTAAGTGCCGTGCACCTACGGGATGCCCATGAATGTGTGCATGGTATTGATTGTCCTGCTGGGGTACTCTGGGTTTCCTTCCCTACTCCTTTGTGGTCTTGATTGTGGACTGAATGCATGTGATCTACTACTCACCTGATGGATGGAAAATGAAGTATCTTGATCTAAATGTCGAGTCTTTCTACAGTGTTTTGTCTTTTCATCTATGAACGGTTGTAGTCTGCAGGTTCTGCTGGAAGTTGAAATTTCGTTTTTCAGTACAGTAGAAACTGAACTAAGTCCATGAGGGACTCCTCTTGGTTGGGACCTGGCCGCGACCTACGTGGGACCTCTAGAACCAGTGGGACCGGGGCCAAACAAGAAGAGCCCTTTTGGGCCCAAATCGGTTAGGCATTAGCCCATTGTCTTTTGACTGTGTTACGAAGTTCTTTCTTCTTGGTTAGGATACCCATTGCCGAGGGGATCTCGGCTGAGACGTTTCACATGTCTTTTGGTTGCACTGTCTGTGGCTTGACTCGCACCCTGTACACCACTCAATTCTCCATTGGTGCATTTAGTCACTCGTTGTCTGGTTTGTTGTACGATCACGAAGCTGGTCAGACTGGACTCGAGAGGATCTCGTATGCAGTCTGATCATACTGGGTCGCTGGATCAGACCTCTCGTGTGAGTTTGATTGTTTTTCTTTTGGTTTGCTGCTCTCTAAGTCTAAATGAAATGCCGCTTCGGCTAGGAGTTCTACCTTCTCTTCTCTGAGTTATTCAGTCTGTTTGTCTGAGTTCATTTCCGATGCCTGTGGAGACTTGCAACCAGAAAGAAGAGAGAGAGAGGAGAGAGAGAGAAAAAAGGGAGAGAGGGAAAGTGACCGTTTGGAGTGGGTAAGGACTGGGAAAAGGAGTGTTCTTCCAAGTAAAAAGGGGAGTGTACCTCTTGAGAGTCTAATTGAGTCTTTTGCTGATTGGCGTCTCTCTGACCCACCCGCCAACACTAACGGTCCGAAAATGGCCCAGCTATCCTCAGGACAATGGCGGGCCCTATTAAATGTCGTCAACGATACAGAGAAATCGTATCTGCAAGCACTCCTAGATAGTGCTATAGAAAGGGAACAGGAAGAGGAGAAGGAGAGGAAGGAACAACTGTTGAAAAGTCAGGAGGCCATATTGGAAACTGTCCCCTCGCTGACCAAAGAGCAGTGTGGGGAACAACTGCAGTCCATACTTATCGTCCAAGTCTGAAGGCTTGAAGATCATACCACTCAAATCGCCGACGTCTTTGCAAAATTGAAAACACTTCAGGAGGATCTGACTGATATGACCACAAAGTACCGCGACTTGATGGTAGAGATTGCTGCGCTGCGACATGCCCAAGTAACCAATCCTCTTCGTCTACCCCCTGGTTCTGGAGCTGCGATTCAGACTAATCTTGCCCCTCTTACCGTATCTACTTCTGCTGCTTCCCTAAGCGTGATGGAAAACCCATGCAACAGGTGCAGATTCTGCTGTTGCCGTAACAAGCAACGAGGCAGGAAATTCTGCAACTGCTGCAGGCCCAAAATCTGAACCAGCCGGTGCTGGTCCCAGCCACGCCGGTCCGTATGCGGATCGAAAAGTGGTGCAAATACCGTCTAGGTACGACGATAGAGAAGACATAGAATCCTGGATCAGCTCCATGAGGGCATACTTCGAGGTGTTGGGGGCTCAGCCAGAGACCCAGCCAGTGATCATGCGAATGAATGTCGAGCCGGTTGTACGGGGCTTCCTAGAAGTCTAAGCTACGTGGGCTGGGGTTCCAAAGATCGAACTGACAAGGTGGCTTAAGGACACCCCAGTTGCCTCCCTCGAGGAGCTCCTCATTGCCCAATATAAGGATCCACACGTTGCAGCAAGGGCAAGAAGCCAGCTTGACAAAATCAAACGCAGCAAATGGACGGGCTCCATGAAAAAGCTGCAAACCTATCTCAACAAGATGTTTGCTACACCTGGTCTTGAACTGACTAACCAATCTTGCTTGGATGTGGTCAAGGGCGCAGTCCCCACCAGTTTTACTAATCGCCTAGGCAGGGACTTCATTGGGTATACTGACTGGTTCACTCTAATGAAGGACATAGTAAGTCTCGAGGCGGTAGACCTCGTCACCACAGCAGGCAACAAAAAGCCCATGGGCAGCAGGCAGTTCAAAGGCAGCAGCAGTTTCGCTGTGCATGACCTGCTGGAGGCTGAAGAGGAGGCCGAAGCAGATGACCCCACTCTTGGTGATGACCAAGATAGATCCTTGGATTACTCATAGACCTCAAAATTTGCAAAATGTAAATCAAGAATAAGAAAAATTTATTGCCTTTAAGAAGACTGCCAATGCAAGGGGACCGAATCGGAATGCAGGGAAGAATTATGTCCAACTTCCCAAGGGAGTCAAAATCCCAGCAAAACCGGAGGATGCGACCACTAAACCATGGGTCGATCTCCGGATCACTCAAAATGATTGGCGGGGTAGACTCAAGAAGGGGGTATGCCTGCATTGCCAGAAACCAAGCCATAAAGTACAGGATTGCTATAGGCTGCAGGGAAACCAGAACCGGGCGTAGAGTCGACTTCAACACACTCTACTGCCAGGGAGACTGAATCTGATGCAGATCAGCAGTCCTCCCTTGAACCCCAATCATCTGCTGAAGCGTGTAATGTCTTGTATGTCCAGCCTTGGGAGGAGTCTGGGATGGTCAACGTCCACTACCACTTGGAATATTGGGCTGAGATGAAATAGCAGCGTGCCCAAGGGACAGTGAAGTTGATCTTCTTCAAACTTCTCATAAACCACTGCTATCTCCTTGTGTTGATTGACTGTGGCGCTACTGCTAACTTCATGTCACCTCATGGGATACGCAAAGTGGGCTTGGGAATTAAGCAAGTGGCCTTGCAGAACCCTTGCCGAACCCAAGTGGGCAACAAAGAAGTTCTCTTCTACGCATGCAGTCAAAGGTGTGCGCACTACCTTTGACAAGGACAAAACTGTCACACACGCGTTGAACTTCTATGTCCTTGACAAGTGCCCCTTCGACGCTATCCTTGGCTTGGGCTGGCTGCAGTCCCAATGCGAATGGACCAAGTGGAAGGAGTCACTTTTCATGGTCAAAGATGCTCGAGGGAACGAGCTTCCTGTCCTCTTGGATGAGAAGCACGAGTCCCTAGTGACTTTTCTGAATTCTATGAAGTTCTGCAAGAAATGGCGCAAGCACAAGGAGAAAGAACAATTGTATGTTGCCTTTGTTCGTCCTACCCATGTGCCATCTACTTTTGTGGTTAATACCACTACTACTTCGGTTAGTGATTCTACTTCTAGTACTTCTTCTAGCACCTCTACTTCTCTACCTTCTACTAGTCCAAATGATCCTACTTCAGACTCGATTGCCTTTATTCGCAACCTGCGACCTGATCTAGGTGATCCCTTTGTTGATCCCCCACCCCCACCGGTTCCACCAAACATCAAAAACTTACTCTATCGGTTCCCCGAAGTTCTGGCCGAGCCACGTGGAGTCCCCATGCGATCGGTCCGACACACCATGGAGTTGGTCGAGGGTGTTGTTCCTCCAAAGGGTTGCGTGTACCGAATGGGACCCGGCGAGTTGGAGGAACTTCGACGACAGATTGACGAAATGATTGACAAAGGGTGGATCAAGCCTAGCGAATCTGAATTCGGTGCTCCTGTCTTGTTTGTTCCAAAGAAAGGAGGCAAGCTCCGCATGTGTATTGACTATCGCGGCCTAAACCGCATCACAAGAAAGAACGTCTATCCATTACCCCGAATAGATTACTTGCTTGATGCCACAGGTGGTTGCAAGGTCTTCTCCAAGATCGATTTCAAGTCTGGCTACCACCAGATTGAAGTCGATTTTGCGGACCAGCACAAAACTACGTTCAAAATGCATGATGGGCTTTACGAGTTTACCGTAATGCCCTTCGGTCTTACGAACGCCCCAACCACCTTTCGAAGCCTCATGGACAAAGTCCTCCGCGAACAGATTGGCCGGTTCGTGGTGGTCTACCTCGATGACATACTAATCTTCAGCAAGTCCATGGAGGAACACCTCAAGCACCTTGAGGAAGTGCTAACCATCCTCAAGAAGACGCAACTCTATCTCAACTTAGAGAAATCTGAGTTTGGGAAGGATAGTGTCATCTATCTTGGGCACCAATTGTTTGTTGCAGGCCTAGAGCCCGAGGCAACCAAGGTGGAGGTCATACGCAACTGGCCTCAGCCCGTGAATGTTCACGAAGTGCGCTCTTTTCTTGGTCTCGAGTCGTACTATCAGAAGTTTGTGCCCCGCGCGTCCATTGTCTCGATTGACAAGTTAGAATGTTTCCCATTCTTGGGACGTCGCGTGCACGAACGCCTTTCAAGCTTTGAAAGACGCCTTGGTAAGTTACCCAGTACTCCACATTGCAGATCCTAAACTGACATTCGTAGTTACTACGGATGCAAGTCGGTATGGAATCGGCGCAGTGCTGCAACAAGATGACGATGATGGCTTGCGACCGCTCGAATTCTACAACAAATGTATGCCCAGTGTAAAGCTAGCCACTTCCACCTACATGCGCGAGCTCTATGCTTTGCGTATGGCTTTGGACCATTGGAAGCACTATCTTTTGGGATGCCACTTCAAAGTGTTCTCAGATCATGAGACCCTGAAGTGGATCAAGGAGCAGACTACCCTGTCCCCTACATTAATTCGCTGGTTCCATGAAATTGACATCTTTGACTTTGAGATGAGACACAAAAAGGGTTGTTATAATGAGTCGCTGACTCATTGTCTCGGCACCCTGAGTACATGACTTGTCTTGTGAAATCCTACGACCTCCGGAAGAAACATAAGGAGGAGCTCGTAGAGCAGACAGCCAAGGATCCGGAACTTAGTCCCATCCTTGAGCGGCTGCGGGTTGATCCTAGTAGTCAGCTTGATTTTCACGAATATGGAGGAGTGATTTTTCGTCGCTACGGGAACCACGACCGCTTGTGTGTGCCCAACCATGAGCCTCTCCACACGCATTTTCTGGATTTGGCTCATGGTCGGAGCGGACACTTCGGCATGGCAAAGACGTACGCAAATCTGCTGCAACAGTTTGATTGGCCTGACATGAAAGAGACTGCTGAAAAGTTTGTGGCTGAGTGTCAAGTATGTCAACGAATCAAACCATGCAGACAAAAGCCCATGGGGCTACTCGCACCCCTTCCCATTCCCGATGGTCCCGGGGAGTCCGTCTCCATTGACTTCATCGACATGGGAAAGGTAAGTAAGAACGGCTACTCACAAGTCATGGTGATTGTTGACCGATTCTCCAAGTTTCTCAATCTGATCCCTTTGCCGCCGCACACCCCAACAGAATTAGTGATTCATGAGTTCCAATAGAAGTACATTCTGCAGTTCGGGACCCCGAAGACTCTCGTAAGCGATCGGGACCCGCGCTTCATTGGTACGGAATGTAAGGACTTCACGTCTCATCAGGGGATCAGGCTGTGTATTACATATGGCCGACACCCCGAAGCCAACGGTTTGACTGAAGAAATCAACCAGATTGTGTTCCAACTTCTCCACGCTTTGATCATCCCGGATCAGGAAACATGGGATGAAGAGCTGTATTTCGTTAGGGGGTTGTACAACAACTCCATCCGTTCTGCCACCGGCATGACACCTAACAGGCTGCATCTCGGTTGGCAGATCCGTAATCCGCTCTCCTACCTATTCCCTGAGCAGCCAGCTGGCTTGACACCCGACAGGCCTGGCTTCAGGGCCAAGTATGATCGTTTGCTCAAGGTTGCCATTGCAGCCATGACCAAGCGACAACACGCCATGATCCATCATGCGAACAAGGGGCGCCGACCGTCGGACATTCAGGTAGGAAGCTATGTCTGGGTCAAGATGTCTGAATTCTCAGAAGAAGAAGGGATCTCTCGCAAACTTCTCCTACTCTATTACGGACCGTGGGAAGTTTTGGATGTGATTGGCGAAGACCACTTTGGCCCTTCGTACGTAGTTGATGTGCCAGCCCATCTGCGCACACACCCCGTGTTCCATGCATCAAAACTGTGCCTCCACCGTGATGCTAAGACGTTCGACTATCACGAAGACACCCTCGTGCGATCAAAGGCGGGCATGAGATAGACAAAATCAAACAGCACGTAGGGAAGGGACGCAACAGACAGTACCAGGTTCACTTCATGTATCACCCATTAGGCGATCTGTACTGGATTTCCAAACAGGAACTGCTACGCAGTGCACCGCCCGTTGTCAAAGCCTGCGAGCGACAAATCGCCAGTATCTAAGATCTCTGCAAGGCTCACTTCAACAGAGTACTCTAGGAACCTCTTTGCCTTGCTTGCTTACGATGCGTTTGTCGAGGACTCAGAATGAGTCACTCGCTCGAAGGGACCTCGCTCTTGAGGGGGGAGTAGTGTGATAACCCGTCCAAACATGGACTGAAACACACAGCTGATTTCTGAGTTTTGCCCATAGACTGAATGCCCTGCTGAGTTTCCCGTTTCCTACCAAGTCTCTGTGTGCACGCTTGTTGGACTGCATGTCTGTCTGAGTGCTGGTTGGCTTGAGTGTGTGTGTGGCCGTGGCTGTCTGAGTGCTGGTTGGCTTGGATGTGTGTGTGGCCGTGCCTGTCTGAGTGCTGGTTGGCTTGAGTGTGTGTGTGGCCCGCAAGGGCACTTGCTCGTTCATTGGGCCCTCAGGGCCGGTACTTACCTGTGGCCGTGACATTGAGGGATTGCAGTAGCGGGTAGGCCCGTACCGCACCCTGAAGGGGTAGATGTGCGGGTACCGGAGGCCGAGCAGAAATAGACAAAAGTGGCATTTTTAGAGGCCCAGTAGTTGTAGGTTAGGTCTAGGCGGATATCAGTCCAACCAGTCTGGGTCTAGGGCCTGTACGGGCAATATCAGAGTCTGCAATGATGTTTCCCTCCGAAAGGGAGGAGGTACCGGTTGTTTGGAAGGCCGAGCGGCCTGGAAGTCCTGAAGAGGCAAGCAGGCTGCTATATCTCCCAGCCGGGCGAAGAGCCCAGCCTCCTTTTCGGTGTGCAAGTTTGGCGACACACTGGTGGAGCGCTGGCTGGAGCAGCGCTACGCTGGAGCAGCGCTGCTGGGGAGGAAGGAGAAGGACACGAGGGAGGAAGAAGGAAGGAAGGGGGAGGAGCGCCAGGGGTACTTACCTGGCTATGGTGGCGGCCCTCTTCATCACCTTGGTGGGCGCTGCAGCAGGGAGTCCCCAACTGGGGAGAGCTACACCAAGAAGCTTCGAGGCAAGGTCAGGCATGGTGGCCTGAGCTAGAGCAGCCATAGCTGCTTTGGGTTGTCCTTTGGGCATCTGGGCAAGGCCTAGTAGCCCGCCATAGCCTCGGCCTATGAGAGTGAAGAGTGGAGAGGCGGACATGGCTATGGTGGACCTCAAGTGATACCTGCAGTAGAAGAGGAACWCGGACATTGATTCTGGATCAGCCATTCAACATTGTATTATTATTTGTTGTATGAATAAGAGAAGGGGGAGATAAGGAGGAGGAGATTGTTGGGCGAAGAAGAAGAGCCTTGACATTTGTCTAAGCTGGTGTACATCATCTTCTTCTTCTTTCTTACTTCTTCTTCGTCTTCTAATCCTCTCTCTCCTCCCAAGTTCATTCATTTCTTTCTGCAATTGGAAGGCATTGTACTTTCTGATGGATGTGTATCTCGAAATTGGCCAGGATCATAATGGGGTAGATAAGGTAAGGGAACAACGTACCTGGAGATAGCTGCCCCCACCCACAGATTTCTCACCAATTGAGCCAATGTGCATTTCAATGACCGGTCGTAGCTTTGGCACCAACCACAATGCGATGCAGTGCCACCTCAGCCAAAATGCCACATCAGCATGCCCTCAGCATCATACATACATCCGCTGTTGCCACAGCTCCCACGCTGTCGCCACAGCCTTCTCGCGGCGTACCCCTCTACCCGGGTGCGGCAACTCAAGCCAGCGCCAATGTATCCTCACTGCACAGAAGCATCGTCTGCGCACCAAGTAACATTGTTGCTGGCGGCAGATACGCGATCTCGAAACAGCTGCGATACCAAATTGTAAGGAATATGAGCGAGAGCGATATACAGAAAACCAAGTTGCAAATCACGCAGATGTCCAAATAGTCATGTACCAGCAGCGCGCAAATGCACCAGGATTCCATCCAAATAAGAGCAATACAAACTCGTGAGCCAATGTTCAAGCCCTCAGGCCACATCGACACAGTATTCAATGTCGCCCCTCTCTGCCTGGCGCCCAGCGCCCAGCCTACTCTACTTGCCTATCTAACCTATCTACATTCAACCAACAGGCTCACTTCGTCTTCGAAGACCAATGTACATGTCGTCAACACCAATGCGACCTCCCACATACACCAGGTATGTATCGCTTATCCCCTCATCAACCCCTGACACCCACTCTCTCTCTCTGCGCCTCCTCCCGAAGACCCTCCTGTCGCCCTCCGCCTGCCCCGCGCCCTGCAGCCCTGCTATGGCCGCTAGCGCCCCGCTGCCCTGCAGCACCCTCACCTCGCAGCGCCCGTGCGGGCCCTGGCCCGTGCTCCTGCAAGCAGCACCTCGCGTGCTAAGGCAGGAGCGTGTCCGCAATGCATGCACTGGCCAGCATGCCAGACCCGGGCTGCCTCTCTTCCTATATTGAAGTGGCAGCCTCTGTTTGGCTGCGTGTGGGCCTGGCTGAGAAGCTTCCAGTAGCTTCTGGTCCGGCCCAGCTCTGCAGTTGAGGGCCTGGGCCCTTTACATTTGGGCTCACCCAACATTTCCAGACTTCAGCCGTTTGCTGCATCTGCACAGGCCCGGGGGTAGGTACGTCGACAGTGATGCTTTCTCATAGGCCCTTGGCCACTTCATGATGTATCTGCCTCGCATTGTGTGTGCCCAGGCACAACTACCCGGCGCAGCACATGTTTTATGAAGTGAGCAGGGAGGCTCACATTTCCTTGTAACCAACTGGCGTGCTGCAACTGCCTGAGTACCCACGTACGGAAAATGTCAAACTTTGGCCTCTTGTGAATATTCAGGCCCACCTTCATTTAGGGAGGGCACGGGGCTTGCTGAGGGCCTCTGCCCAGAACATATGCATGTCTGATAAGGGCCGTGCGAGGGCTTATTCCTCGCAGTTTTGTCTATTTTGATTGCTGTGGGGCTTGACCCCATGGCCTGCTGGTTGTTAGTTAGGCTCTTAGTCGGTCTAGGACAACTAGGACTCCGTAGATGTTTCTGGTAGGGTTGTAAGTAATGAGAAGAACCGGGTCTTTTGCATCTTGTTTGACTGGGGGAAACTCTGCCCGTCTGTTGCTGGAGCGCTGCTGCACTATTTTGGGCGAGGTCATCTTCTTCATCGAAGCCCAGCCATAGCCGGGGTTGGTAAACGAAGTTGAAGATCGCACTGGTGCTATTTCACGGTTCTGAATGAGAGCTTCCACAAGACTGTGTTGTTGGGTTTGGGCATGGTCATTTTTCACTTGGCAGCCATATCTACTGTTCCTCCTCACAAGGGATTTCATCTTCTTCAAAGCGCTGGATCGATTGTCTCCTGCTTCATCAGGGCTTCCAGCGCTGCACTTCTGTGAGGGCGCTGAGCTGGCGCTGCTGTCACTGGGCTTGCTGGTTCCAGATTGGCACGTTGTGACAGGTTACTGCTGCTACGGCAGCCATAGCCAGGGGTGTGATGAAAGTCCTTCAACGATTCAGACCCCAAATTCGGGTCTCAGGGTCAGAGGCCTGGTCAAGAGAGGCCTAGTTCGTCAAATTCAGAAAAGTCACAGTCGGGTACCTCAGGAGTCCAGTCCAACAGGCACCCAGCAAACAGTCACATCTCAGGGGCAAAGAGTCACGTGACTCACGTCTCATAATGAAAAGTCATATGGAAGAGTCACATCCCACGTGTGACGAGGCAGAGACAGCGTGGCGAGGCTGAGGGAGAGAGAGGAGAGAGAGAGAGTGAGAGCACACACAGACACTCGCTCGACTCAGACACGGACTCG